AAAAAAAAAAAAAAAAAAAAAAAAAAAAAAAAAAAAAGAAGAGACACCAAAGAATGTTCTGTTCAGCAATTAGAATTAGAACACTGCCACCTTTTGTAGTTCTCAACCTTTTAAATCACAGAAATTCACAAGGCATTTTTGCCATATAATTTATTTACTTTCCTTATCAACTATCTGGAATTAAATACATTTCTAACACTCTTAAAAAACTGTCATATTTCTTCTAGGACAGGATGAAGATGTTTATAGTGGTTTTTGGTTTGCGTTGTCTTTCATATAGGGTCTCACTATGTACTCCAGGTTGGCTGTAAACTCACTATGTAGCCTAGGCTGGCCTGGAACTTGGCGGTGATCTTCCTGCCTCAGCCTCCAGAGTGCTGAGATTACAGTTGTGTGCCACCACATCCGGTAGTTTATAGTGTTTTGAGATTCACATAAATATCTAGACTCTTTTTTATTTCTTAAGACAAGGTGTTGTTATGTAGCTCAGGTTGCCCTCAAACTCATTATGGTCTCAAACTCATGAGATCCTCCTGCCTTATAGGCATGGGCAATATTGGCTCAAGCCTGGCCAATATCTAGACCCTAAAACCGATCATCTTTCAAGAATAATCTCTAATCAATGAACGTTGTAAGCCTCTGAAATGAACACTTACCTGATTCATTGTTAATTGGGAATTCCCACAGTTTCCCTTCTTTTGTCCACTGGATCATTTCTTCAAACCCATTCTGATAAGGCTGTGTATTTACTGTGGCTAACTGCTTTGCAAATTCCATATCCCAAAGAGAAGGTGGTGCCTCTGTATCAAAAAACATTTTAAATAAGCATAATGATAGTCAAACAGTAGAAAATGAAAGATCACTCCTTAAAGAGCCAAAAGTGCAATAAAAATTATGTGTTAAGACTAGAACGAACATAATGGTAAGTTTTAATATTTTATTTGTAAACTGTGCTTTAACTTCTGCAATCAAATACAATGCAATGAGAATACAATTAACTTTCATTGTGCATCCAGAAAATAAAAGGCATATTTATACAGATATAGCCCAACAGCTTATTCCTCAAAAAAACAGAAAATCTTAAATTTTAATTAAAGCTAGTTTACCTTCAGTGTAAAAACTTAGGAGGTATAATCAAACTCAAGATATTAGATATGGTAATTTAGGGGGGTTGAGATAGGATCTCACTATGTAGTTCAGGCTGGCCTTGAACTTACTATGTAGACCAGGTTGGCCTTGAACTCATGATGATCCTCCTGTCTCAGCCTTGCAAGTGCTGGGATTACAGGTGCGTGCCACTAATGCCTGGCTTATACAGTAAATTATTAATGCACATTTCCAAACTTGCACAGTGTAGCACTTTAAACAAAGTAAATGGTCTCATTTCAGACTTTACTGTTAAGCATAATTCCACATCTGAATCTTGAATAAAAATTTCACAATATATAAGCCCACAAAGAATTCTGTATACAAGTTATAGAAATCTGATTTCAAATATAAATATGTAAACCATCATGACTTGATATGTTAAAGCAGCAAATTTTAATTTTTGTATTACTACAACGACAAGCAATTACTACCCTCTCTACTAGAAAGGGAAAAAAGAAATTTGTATTTAAGGGTGCTTTTATAAATAAATATGAGCTTTTTTATATGTGACTCTGATCTCTAAAGCCAAATCTGTTTGTTTTTATTTTTGTAGTGCCGTGGATTGAACCTCAGGTTTTCAAACTGAGCTACATCCCCAGCCGCCTTTTGTATTTTGAAACAGGGTTTCTCTAAGTCATTAAATTGCCTAGGCTGGTCCTGAACTTGTGTTCTCCTGTGTCAGACTCCCAGAGTGCTGGGATTACAGGCGTGCGCAGCTACACCTGGCCAGACTGTTTAAAATCTGTCAGATAGGTCACTAATAAGCAGTGGCACATGCCTGTGATGTCATCTACTCAGGCTGATGCAGGTGGATCACAGGATCAAGGCAAGCCTGGGCAATTTAGACAGGTCTCAAAATAACAATAAAAAGGGTTTTGCCAAGCATGTGTGAGCCTTAGATTCAATCCGCAGTACTGTGGAGAGAAAAGTAGTCACTTACTACTACTAAAGACTAAACAAGCTAATTTAGCAGGATAATAATGACAAAAACAATAAGTGATACTGGGCATTTACTCTGTGCTGAAAAAATTTTTGGGAGTACATAAACTCATTCTTCAGAACTTCACTGTAGGGTAATATGTTGGCTTAACATCACCATCATATTATACGCTTTAATCATTTAGTTACTTTTTAAATTTAAGTCATCTCTCTAGATTCTAGAGCCATATTCTCACTTGTGTTCATGGGAATGTAAAAAATGGTCCAGAAACTTTGGAAAATGTTTGAGTTTCTGAAGAAGCTAAGAACACATCTATCATTCATCATAGCCATCTCACCTCTGGGCATCTGTCCAAGAGAAAACAACACATGTCCATACAAAGACTTGTACATAAAAGTTCATACAAGCTTTATTTGTAACAGCCAAGTCTGTGTTAATTTGAGAAATAACCCAAATGTCTGTTAACAGATAAATGGATAAAAAAATGTGACACTCACACAATTATATATTACTCAATGACAATTACTGATACGTGCTACAGCATGGATAAATCTTAAATCATTATGCTGAATGAAAGAAGCCAGACACAAAAGAGTACATGCTGTGTGTTGTGATTTCATTCACATAAAATTCTAAGAGATGCAACCTAATAAATATTAACAGAAAGCAAATCAATGGGTTGCTTGAAGACAGGCACTGCAGTGATGGATATCCTTTCTTATAACTACACTAATTATATTTCTGTGCATATCTGTAATTATTTTGTTAGAATAAATTCCCAAGAACAGAATGTCTGAGTCAAAGATATGGATCACAAATGATTTTTCTACAGCCTCTTTACTTTTGTTTGCCAAGGTTACTAAACATCCCAACAAATAGTTCATTTGTTCTATCGAGGCAAGCCTTATTTTGCGTTTTCTGATTATTTTTATGAGCCTTTATGTGCATCAACATGTCTAGCCACAATGGTAGATAATTAACCATATTTAGTTTTAACAACAGTAAGATAACAATTAGCTTGACTGTTTTTTATTCATTCAGTGAACACTGACTGACTTATACCTTTTCTATCATGTTATGATCATACTTGATAATAGTTGTAACCATTTGTTGTTAAACATCTACTTGTTCCAGGCACTGTGCCTGACACATTTTTTTTTTAAGATTATCTATTTAGCCCTTGAGATTCATGTACTAGCCCTCATATCATAGGTGGGAAAGGAAATACCTCAGAAAGGTTAATGTGGCAGGATCTGAGTAAGAATCTAGTTTTACTTAACACCAAATCTGTTAAAAGTAGGATTCTAGACCTAGGCGTGGTGGCACAAACCTATAATCTCAGCACTTGTAGGCTGAAGTAGGAAGATCATTGTGAATTTGAGGCTTTGAGGTTACCCTGGGCTACAGTGAGTTCAAGGCCAGTCTGCAGTCTTATCTACATAGTGAGACCCTGCCTCAAAAAACAAAACAACCAACAAATAGTAGGATTCCAGATTACTCTAAAGTAATCACTAGGGCCTTTGATTTTTATCCTTTGCAGTACTGGTAAGAATTTAGTAGGGAATCATGGGACAAAATAATACATCTATTCAGTTAGTCACTGAATGGCAGTTTAATTATATTTCAGGTAGTATGAAAATAAGAGTACACAATTGCTAAATGTAAGTTTCCATATTGTTATTCTTTTTTTTCTTTTTGGTACTGGGGATCAAACTCAGGTCCTTGTGCTTGCTAGGTAGGCAGCAGAGCCACTGAGCTAAATCCCCGGCCCTTGTTATTCTTCTATTTAATTAGGAATAAAGGATATTCTTTAGACTATTCAAGTATACCTTATTAAAACAGTACCATCATTATGATACAAATTTTAAATTATTATATAAATTTGTGTATTTTCTTCAACATATTCAGAGCATAATTGTCTTACACTGTTTTTTGTTTGTTCTGGAAACAAAGCCTCACTAGTAACCCTATGTAGCTCAGGCTGGCTTAGAATTTATAATGCTCCTGTCTCAGCCTTCCAAATGCAGAGATTACAGGTATGCAACACCTAACCAGATACTTCTTTTTGCAGGGTGTGTGATTGGGATTCAACCCAGGATGTTCATACTGACATATATTCCATCCTTTTTATTTCCTTTTTTTTTTGGTTTTTTGAGACAGGGTCTCACTATGTAGTTGAGACTGACCTGGAACTCACTATGTAGCCCAGGCTGGTTTTGAACTCACAGTGATCCTCCTGCCTCAGGCTCCTGAATGCTGGGATTACAGGCGTGCACTACCACGCCAGCAATGGATCTTGTTTCTTCTATTTGGTACCAGGGATCGAACTTGGGACCTTGCACTTGTGAGGCAGATGGATCTTGCTTCTTGATCCATTCTGCCTGTTTTTCTTTTCTGGTACCAGGGATTGACTCGGAACTTGCGCTTGCAAGTCAGGCAGCAGAACCACTAAGCTCAATCCCTGGCCCCTGCCTATTTCTTTTGATTGGTGAACTGAGACCACTAGCATTGATGGTTATACGTGGTATGTATTGTCTTGGCTCTGTCATGTTATTTGCCTGCACTTGGCTTTTCTATTTATTTTCTTGCCTTCTCTTGTGGATTCATTCTTTTGGGGTTCATGGAGTTATCCTTATTGTCTCTTTCTAGAATATCCTTCAGAACACTGGAGTTCTGGTTTAGTGATCATGAATTTCTTCAGGTGTTCTTTGTTATGGAAGTATTTTATTTCTCCATCAATTTTGAAGGATAGTTTTGCAGGGTACATTGATCTGGGTTGGCGGTTGTTTTCCTTTAGGGCTTGAAATACTTCACTCCAAGCTCTCTCTGACTTAAGTGTTTGGGTTGAGAACTCTGCTTCAAAGTGATTTGTTTCTTTTCTCTAACAGCCTTTAATATTCTATCCATTCGTTGAATTTCTGGAATCTTGACTATTACAGGCCTTGGGGAAGATTTTTTTAAAATTATGACTAATTGGAGTCCTATATGTTTCACTTATCTGTATGTCAAATTCTTTCTCCTTGTTTGGGAAGTTTTCTGCCATTGCTTCTGAGAACAGGTTTTTTGTAACTTGCATTATCTCCTGATTTTTCATTGATTCCAATCAATCTTACTTTATTCTTCTTTGCATCATTTAGCAGCTGCTGGATCAATTTCTCATGGTCTGTTGCTATTTTTAATAAATCTCTTTTTTCATAATTACTAACTGCAATCCTACATTCTTTATCTGATATTCTGTTCTCAAATTGGCTCATTCTGCTGCATATACTTTCAATGGAGTTTTTAATCTCCTGGATGTGTTTGAATCTGTTTCTTTCCAATGCTGGGTGTTCATGGTTTCCATCACATTCCTGAGCTCCTATACTTTCTTATCTGTATCTTTCATTCTGGTTACCTTCTCTGTAATTATCTGGGAAATTATTTCTGCTTTATTGTTTTCTAGAGCCTCATTCATCTGCTTTGTTACTTCTGTTACAACTTCAGAGAGTCCTGGTGGGTGGTCCACTTCACTGTCCCCTGAGTTTGCCTTTGGTAACCCAAAAGTCTGTGGGGGTTACATCTTGTTCTGTCTTCTCGTTTCCTATTTTTGTTTAAGTTTGATCCCTGCGTTGATGCATGTAAACTGCTTATGGAGAGTAGTTTTATTGCCAGTATCCAGAATCCTTAGGAAATGGCTACTTCTCAGATGCGTCTTCTAGGTGTAGCTTTTTGGGTCCTTGGCTAAAGTATTATAATCAACAATAATAACAGCATCAAATACAGCCTAGGAAATGACAAATTGTAGCCCTTAATATGGCTTTTTTACCCTTAGGGGAGAAGATTTAAAAGAGGTTAGGGGGTTTAAAAAATATAAATAAAAGAAGAGGAAGAGATCAGAAGCAAGGCTGGAGGACAAACTTTAGGAAACTGGTGAAGAGATGACAGGAAAGAGAAAAGGGGAAAAAAAGAGAAAAGAACAACAAAAACTAGAAACTGCTTAAAAAAAACTAAACTAAACAAGAACTAGAAAGAAGGAAAAACAGAAAGGAAGGAAGGAAAAAAAAAAAGAGAGAAAAGATTTTTTTAAAAACCCAAAATGTCCACTTCAAGGCGTATCTCTGCTGTCATGTTAGGCAGTGTGGGCAAACAGAGTCCAGAGCCAAACTGATTAATCCCAGCAAGCAAGCTGCAAGTTCACAGTGGGATAGTGGATAATAATCCCAGCCAGCCTGCCCCTTTAGTTCCTCTGACGTTCAGGCTGGTTTCTGTCTATGATGGTGGAACCAGATTCTTTCAGCCTACAACAGTGTATGTGTCTCTTGCTGACTTGAACTCTGCTTGCTGACCTGTTGACTTGAACTTAGCACCTGCACTGAGGCACCAGAAGCCACTAAATGGAGTCAGCCTGCAGCTCTTCTGAGTTCCGAGCTTAGTAGAGTCCTGTCCAGGATGGCTACCAGCCAATCACCCTCTCCTGGGTGAGGTCTGAACCTGGTTAACTCACTAGCTGCTGCAGTCTGGTTCATCCACGGCTCTGTTCCACTGGTGTGTTTTTCCATGGAGGCCTCTGGGGTCATTAGTAGTCACTGTGCCTCTGCAGTTTGGGCCCAACATTACCTTTTGGAGAATCCAGGCTCTGGGAGAGAGTGCTGCATGGTATCTTCCTCCTCTTTGTTAAAAGTCTCTCTCTTCACTCTCCATGTACACTTCATTTCTCACCTCAGATCCTTTCTGGGTCCTGGGATCCACTTTCTTCCTCCTCTTCTTCCTCCTCTTGCTGCTATATTCCAATATAAGGACACCAAATCTTGGAGAAGCTTTTTCTCTCTGCTCACCACTCCACCATTTTCCCAGAAGTTCTTTCTTTCTTTTTGAGACATGGTCTCAGTTAGTTGACCAGGTATGACCCAAACTTGTGATTCTTCTAGACAATCATGCCCAGTTTCTATACTGGTTTTATAAAATACTGAAACTTCAGTGTCTGTATGCTAGTTTGTTTCAGTTTTAGGAGAAAGAGTTACAATTTAAAAGTAAGATGGTTCATTCCAGAATCAAAATGTCTCTCCTGGCTGCTTATTAGGTGGACAATAGCAGCTGCCCTAACAAGTTCCTCTTTGAAGCAAGCTTAACAGATTCACCTGGGAGCGTGGAGGTGGGGGAGGGTCCTCTCCAGGCCCACGTGTTGCATATTTCCTTTTCACTGTACCCAACCGAATGCAGCTTTCACCATTCAAGAAGGCTGTTGTTCTTTCAGCATGGCTTTCAGTTCAAATGAACAAAACAGATTGAATTGAATTAACACCTTTCCTTTATGGATACATATTTTTTGCCTCAGTTTGTTGAAAAAAGATTTACGATCTAAGGTAACTAATTGCTATTATTTGTAAGTCTCTTGGGTAGGTGCTATAGGGTACACAAAAATAAATGAGACCTATTCCCTAATATCAAGGAATGTATTGAATAGTGGGGAAATCAGATATTTATATTAATTGGTGGTTATAAGACTGAGCCTGACAGGCTGCTCTAGGGGAACTTTCACGTGCAACATTATTTCTACCAAGATTCAAAAGTTAATCTCCATTCTTAACAAATGTGCACTGTTTATAAGCTGGAAACCACTTGTGTTGATTTTCTTCATCTATCAGGAAAACAAATTAAATGTTCAGAAAGAAGATACAGTACTCATCTCTCTTGATGAGACTTACAACAGAATTTGAAGGATTTGACATCTTGCTTAAAGAGAGGGAAAGAATAGAAAACAAGAAAAAAGACTACTCTGGGATTGTGCCCAGGGATGGAGACACAAACCTGTAATCCAAGCATTTGGGAGACTGAGGCAGGATTGCCTCAAGTTCAAGGACAGCCTGAAATACATAGTGAGACCCTGTCTCAAAAAATGAAACAAAACAAAACAAAAAAGAATAAAGACTAATAATGGATTAAGAAAAAACACTAAAATTTTGCTAAATATGTTTGGAGTGTTTTTCATATTTCCTGAATATTCACTATATAACTCCAGTAAGTTACTTCTACAAAAGCAGCCTCCTATTCTACCTATGAAGTTGCCTAAAGCAGGAACCATAGCTTTTTGTGTAAGAACAAAGAATTTTCCTGAACATGGTAGGTGATTATTAATGATCTAACCCAATTTAGTAGTGGTCTATCCCTCTGGATTATTCCGCTAATAAGATTGACCTCTCAAAGTCTCAAGAAATGTGACATTTTAAGGGGAAGAACCTGACTAAGGCTAGCAATATTAACAACTACATGCATAAGCAGGATCCAAGCCAATGACAAGACAGAACATCAGTATACCCAACTATCATGCACTCAAAACACTGAGGACATCTTTGAAAGACAGAATGTTTCTCCACTTGAGATATAGTGTTATTTTCTTAACAAACCTGTTTGAGGTGCTTCTTCAGAAAATTGCTCCATATCAAAAATATTAAGTCTCTTCCCTTTGAATAAATCTTTCTTAACACTAAAAATGAATAAAACACATTTTAGTAAGATTATATACTGTCTACAAAAAATATTTATGATAAAAAACCCTTTTACATGAAATAATCCAGGTAGAAATTAAAAGTAATTCCATGGACCCACACTAAATATTCAGTAAATTGCTGTTTTTAGGACTGACAACAGCACTTAAAATTTCTGCTTCACAATATAACAAGCCAGTTAAAGCAGCTTATTTTCAAAATATCCAATTGAAACAGTTAGCTTAATTTGTTATAATTTTAATTTGACCTCATATAAAATTTTAGGAGTAATGCTGTAAAATGCTAAAGAATGATTAAATAGAAGCTGTTAAAGTCAACATTAGTCTTTAATGGAAAAAACACTATGATTTTAATTACAAGGTTATAAAAAACTGCACTGATATAAAATATCCTTTTATAAAGCAACCATTCTGCAGTATAAAAATAATGATTAACTTTCTTCACATAATTTTTAATTGTTGAAATTAATGTCAGTTAATAAGTGACTTATTCAACTGCTTTACACATCAATTTATATACTTACTCAATTTATATACTTACATATACCAACAGATTAAAAAGCAGTTTTAAAACTGGAAGATTAATTTTTAAATTAGCTTTAAACTATTTTTTCTTTTCTGGATCAAATTACTTTTTTAATGAAATTAACTGGGAAAAGTGTAAACAGTATTCTTAAATTTGATGAAATTATCTCAGGCTCTGCTAAGTTGTCCTCATGTTGGGTATCTGTAAAACAAAAGCCTTTATGCTCCAGAACTATCCTCAAGGCCTCATGTTCTTTCCTTACCCAAGATCCCCTCATGTCAGTTAAACAGGATGAGATGTAAAAGTAACTCATAGTAAAGAAGGGATGCCTTGGTAAAGTATGGAAATTTAAGAGGAAAATATTGAAAAGGAAAGGCAGGAACATTTGCTGAGCACAGACTATACATTAGATAGTTGACACACTTCTATTCTTCAAGAAATACTTTCAGCATTTTAGAGATGGGAAGACTGATTGATGGTGGCCCCAGTCACCATATGAAAGATTGAAAGAAAGTTGCCCCAGTCACAGAAGTCCGTGGCAGTGCCAAGGTCAGTGTGACTCTGAAGCCAGAGCTCCCTGACTCACCTCTAAAGGAAAGAATCAATCCAGGCCTGGGTTTTCTCAGGCTACCTCAAATCCTGCCCACATCATAGCAGGGTAAACAACTTGCCTTTTCCTCACCACTTCGTTTTCTCCTTTATTGGCTTTTTAATATACTGTATGCACAGAAACCTCTTTCCTATTTTTTTTAAAGCTTTTCCCTTGCTTCTTTCTAATTTTTAATTGCAGCTAAGCATCTAATTACAATATACTATTCAGAAGCAATTTCATGGAACCATAGAAAGAAGACTGATTCAGTTAAACTTTCTAGTAAAATTCCAACTACATGTTCTATTTCTTTGTTTGTTTGTTAGCTTGTTTTTTGAGACAGGGTCTCACTATGTAGTTGAGACTGACCTGGAACTCACTATGTAGCCCAGGCTGGTCTCAAACTCACAGCAATCTTCCTGCCTCAGCCTCCCGAGTGCTGGGATTACAGGCGTGTGCCACCATGCCCCGCCTGTTCTATTTTATTTGATATATTGCAGATACTAAATCACTTAGTAATTCAAATAGTCATCCAAAGTCATTGTTAACCTGTTGAACTTCCTGTGTTAAATGCTGACTACCTTTTGCAATCTACCTGTACAAATCAATAATTTAATATCAGGAAGGAGGTAAAGTCAAGTTCCTGAGATTCTACTTAAAACAACATTCAAGGAATACACAACACGTTGAAAACATTCCAACTGTGAGCACATCCTACTATTAATGCCAAGTCATCCTATTAAAGCCAACTTAGTTTTTGTCAGAGCATGCCAGACAGGCTAGTTTCTTTTCTCCAATGGTCACTTTCTGGGTTTAAAGAAGAGAAAGAACAGAAATTTTATGTAAATACAGAATAATTTTCAATTGTATATGGATTTTTCTCCCCCCACCCCAGGAACCAGTTACTGAATTCAGGACTTTGCACTTGTGAGGCAGGCTTGGTGCCACTGAGCTAAATCCCCAGCTCTCTTTCTTCCTTTTTTGATGTTTGATGGAAGACCAGATAGAGATATAAAGCGTATAGAAATACTCAGTGCAGATAGAGACGTAAAGTATATAGAAACATGTGCAGAATGAAAAATAATGCTCCTTGTAAAACATTCCCTTGTTCAGAATTGAGTCAGCTCCACTCATTCTAAATCAGAGCCCTCCTGTTTGGTAGGGGTAGATGTGAGGCAGGGTCTGTTTTATTTATGGTGTAGAAAAATATACTAAACCCACTAAACCCAGAACATCTTTCCCTTTCTAGGACACATCTACAGAGTAAGAAGACACATGTAAAAGCATCCACAACTCAATACCTACTAGCAATAACATGTACAAGGAATGAAGTAATCTACAGTTATTTTAAAAATAAACCACAGAAACAAAAACCAATAGACAGCAAAACCTGAATACCTTTTTTTAAGATCAGATATTACATCCTGTCCAAGAGAACTGTTAAATCCTTCATCAAACTGAATCTGATGCTCTGGTCTTGACGCTCTAGTTTTAGCAGATCTGGCAACTTTCATATCTGATATAATGGCACTGAAACTGAAATAATAAAAAGGTTCAATAAATTAGAAATCTCAGCTATACAATAGTAAACTTTTCTTAAACAGAAGACATAGCATTTAATTATTCCACTTTTATGCTCTAATATAGCATAAAGCTACATTTAAATAAAAAGTATGCCCTATATTAACATTCACAACCACAGACCCTTAGGATTTATACTTAGTTTTGAGGGCAGGTGTTGAGACGGGATTTGAGATAGTGGGGGATATGAAGTCTATGCTGGTCTCCAACTTTCTATCCTCTTGCCTCAGCCTCCCAAGTACTGGGATTACAGGTGTGCACACTTGGTTAAGACTTGTGTCAATTTCAATCTTTTAAAGATGTTCTGCAATTTGGAAGGCTGAGGCAGGAGGACTGCTACAGGTTTGAGGCCAGCTGGGCTATCTAGCGAGTTCAAGGCCACCCTAAAATCTATATAGTGGGCCAGAGATTTATATCAGTGGCATCTTGCCTGCCTTGCAAGCACAAGGTCCTGAGTTCAATCCCCAAAACAAAACAACTATATAACAAGATCCGGGTGCAGTGATGCACACCTGTAATCTCAGCACTTAAGAGGCAAAGTAAGGAGGATCACCATGAGTTCTAGGCCAGCCTGGACTACATAGTGAGATCTTGCCTCAAAAACAAAACAAAACAAAGCAAAACAAAACAACAAAACAAACAAACAAAAAAAAACCCACAAAGTTTTGCAGAAATCCTCATTTAAAACATAAAGGTGTCACCTATATAAAAGCGATTAACAGGGCCAGGGATTTAGTTCAGTGGCACCACACCTGCCTTGCAAGTGCAAGGTCCTGAGTTCGATCCCCAGTACCAAGTAAATAAATAAATAAAATTAAAACTACTAATAGGTCAGAGGTTGATAGGAAAATACTGTATCTATGTCTATAATAGCAATGACTAAATTAAAATAAAAACCTACCTGTATTTATGTGTTGTATTTGTTCAAATACAATACAAGCAGAACGAGTTGTCTCAGAGTCCAGATCTTGTATTTTTCTTTTAACTTCCTGATATAATTCTGGTACACATGTTCATTAAGAACACCTGATTTAAATCACTTTCCAAAATGAAGCAGTACCACCACTTACTAGCTTGGGGCAAACAGTAGTATAACTTGGCAAAAAGGAACAGGATGAAAGGGATAAATAGAAAGTTTGGCTCTAACTTAAGAAAAAGGGAAGGAAACATATCTGAAGATTATTATGCTATGCAGAAACCAGCATATGATTTAACCAAGAAAAAAATTAATTCTCAGAGAAACTTTTATTATTTATTTACTCATGTAAATAACATTAGTGTATTTCCCTGTTTCAGGAGAAATTTTGACTTCCTAAAAGAAAAATTTAACCATCCGTTATTTTAAAAAACTACAATCTCACTTAAGACTTTCTTAATATAAGCATTTTTATTTTAAAATTTTATTTTTATTAGCACATATTTGCTTTTTAAATAATTACTAAACTTCTATTTGTGTAATATTTTATATATAACATAGATGTTTTGTGTGTTATTCACTAGACACATGAAAACAGCCTGTCTGAGCTATACAAGCATGAACCCAAGTACTACACTTCTGACATCACAGGAGTCACTGACCTGATTTTAGGTTTCTCTTTCTCTTTCTGGGACACTGAGTCCTGCTCATGCTGCTTCAGCCGTTCCAGCAGCTCTGACTTGGTCATCTGCTTGTCACGAGGGAGGGAAGCTGCAACAGCAGATGCAGCTGCTACCAACGCAGGACTTAAGGGCTCATTTCTG